GCCATTTCAGACTTTTACTGGTTTGTAGTGCTATAGCCGGTAATAGGATGTGATTTTGTTTTTTCTGGTATAATAAGTATTTATTTTGATATGTTCGTTTTATTGGAGACACATGACCGATATTTGTAGCTTAAAGAGGACTTAAAAAAAAAGAATAAAATGGAAATTGCGCAAAGTCGGCATCCCTAAGATTATTTTGCATAACACCTGAAATTTATCTGAACGTTAATCCATCGAGATCGGAAATCTATTGACTGTTTTTCAACAGTGATGTAGGTCTAGGTATGTCGGGGTTGTAAGAAGATGGAAGGTAAGTTTTACTATTCTGCTTTTGGATTATCACTGAGATGGAGTTACTTCTCATGTATGCTGAACAGCTAGAGGCCACTTAAACGATTCATTCTATTTTTTTTGCAAGGACTCAAGTATATAGTGACACATTTTCCCAAGATACCATCAGAATCTGGAATGGACTACCCCTTGATTCAAATGAGATGTGCAAGAAGTTCTGCAATTTTATTTTTAGCCTTATTTTAATGGAACATAGCCGTTGCGCTGTAGATAATTTGCACTTACCTGCATATATATGTTTTTCTCACATCGAACATTTACATAAAACCTATTGAAGGAAGGAGAATAAAGGCACTTATTCTTGATGTTAAATCATATACAACCCACCGGATATGAAGCAAGATATTTACATCTTTTAGATTTCATTCCAAAGATACATGTTTATCAATGTATCATAGACCTGAATGAATAAAACACAGAGTGTTCACTGTCTTTTGAAAATGTTTTGATTCGAATAGCTATTATTAATCTTATTACGATTCTCAATGTAAATTTGGCTGCGGCATTGATACTTGATTGATCACACTGGAGACTGAAGACTAAACAAAAACGTTGTCAAGGTCATTCTATCCTTCAAATTCAATAATGGTACAAACCTTATAATTTCAAGGTATCTCCAAAAAAAGATTAGGCCACCCTTAAGAAATTCTTTGTTTGATGTTGCCTACCCATGCCTTGTAGGATTGGGTAGGTAGGCAGGTTGGTAGGTAGGGTTTTTTTTTGCCGACAACATAAGTTACATGTTTTAGACAAGAAAACGACTTTAAAACAGGAAAAAATCGATTTGTGTCATAAATTTTTTGGGTAGGCTACTTTTTAGGTGGGTAGGTAGGCAGCATCAAACAATTTAAATTTTATTTTTTGGCCTTATATCATAGCTATTGTGGCATTTACATAATCATACGTTATTTGTATTGAATATGTTTATGTTTTTAGATAAAAGGAGGATTTGAGAAATGAATATCCTGGCCTAGAAATTAAGAACTGAAAAAAAATTAATTTGCCTAGGATGAAATATATGAGTTTTCTATCTCATAAAATGCAGGAAATAATTGTGTACACAATTGAAGACGAATTGTAAATAAAATCAAATAAGCTGGCCTAGCAACAGATGACGGTGAATTTGCCCCCCCCCCCTCACACACACACACATCAAATGGTCGACTATAACTGGAAGAAAGGGTTAAGGTTAACTTGTGATGGCTGTCCAATGCTTTAATTTTTTAAAGTAAACAATCACATCTGACTCACTAAAGGCCGAATACATTTTTTTAATGAAAAATATCCAGATCCTATATAACCATTATACTCTATAATATCGTATTACAAGTGGCGTTTCTTCCAGATCTGACCATTTGTGGTCTTTGAAAACAATCACAAAAGACCATAATAAAATATTCATTAATATTTGGAACAAAGAATTTCTAAGATAGAGATCAGTTTAAGTGTTTTACTCCCCATTGCCCATTTAGTACAATAGTACATGTGTCAGAAACCTGTTGTTCAGTGGTTGTCGTTTGTTGATGTGGTTCATAAGTGTTTCTCGTTTCTCGTTTTTTATATAGATTAGACCGTTGGTTTTCCTGTTTGAATGGTTTTAAACTAGTCATTTTTGGGGCCCTTTATAGCTTGCTGTTCGGTGTGAGCCAAAGCTCCGTGTTGAAGGCAGTACTTTGACCTATAATGGTTTACTTTTACAAATTGTGACTTGGATAGAGAGTTGTCTCATTGGTCCTCATACCACGTCATTCTTCTTATATCTATGTGTAACCGGAAAACATGATTTTCATTACAAAATCACATCAGTTTCCTCCGGGACTCGAACCCGGGATTTCTGTGTTACAAGGCAGCGCTCTAACCGACTTAGCTAAAGAAGTACTTCCTTAGCTCAATCACTCACGGTTGACTATTTAAAGTATCTACTAATGAAGGCCGGAAGCATTCCTGTCACACATGTAATATTTTCTGGCAGATATATGTCTTAAGTGTTATGTGTTGCTGTTTCATTAAGTTATATTCCAATTATTCCTTTATTGATAAATATAAAGTTTAGGGTAACTGTTGTGGCGAAATCAGAGTAACACGGAATCCATTTCGAACTTTGATAAAATAACTAACGATTATTTACAGTATGTACAGTATATATGTGATATTCAATAAATACCACATTGGAATGAACTGCTAAATAATCCTTCTTTTCCTTTCTTATTCAAGAATCAACGCTTATTCATTGCATCTATAGTACATCTTTATTCACAAAAAACCTTTGCTTATATACCAAAATCAAAAGAACATTCTAAATCTAGAACCATCTATAAATAACTAGAGAAATGATTAACAATCTATTTCATGTATTTTTTGTAACAAGGTAAATTCAGGAATTTGCTAACACTTTTTGAAACGTAAATATGAACACAATGACTTTCACTATCTATCTAGAATATTCTAGTACGATTCATCACTATAATTCCAATAACAATGTAAATTATATAAACAATGTCAAATAAAAGAGGGACGAAAGATACCACAGGGACAGTCAAACTCATAGATCGAAAATAAACTGACAACGCCATGGCCAAAAATAAAAAGACAAACAGACAAATAATAGTACACAAGACACAACAAAGAAAACTAAAGACTAAGCAACACGAACCCCACCAAAAACTGGGGGTGATCTCAGGTGCTCCGGAAGGGTAAGCAGATCCTGCTCCACATGTGGCACCCGTCCTGTTGCTCATGTTATTACAAATCCGGTAATTAGTCTAATTCGGTAGGTCACAAAGCCATTCGTGGTGAAAAAGGAAGTGGATTATAATTACGACATAAGGAACATATCCGATATCATCTGTGAAACGGTTATTCCATAACGGTCAACCAACTCGTGATGGCGTCCGTAAAAGGGGTGATTTAAACTTCACCATTTGCCAATCATTGTCTTTATAATTGCGTACTATTAGCAAAAACTGTACTTATCGCAGATGATACATGTATCTTTTTTAATGGCTTGAAGATCCGACTCTTGATTATATTACCAGTCATTATAAGAGATCATTATAATATTATCACCATCTATGATCTAAGCAAAAGTTCAGATATGCTTGGATTAAATTACCCGTCAATATTGATGAAGATTTCCAATGTGTTTCTAATTGAATCTTCTGTAAATACAGTCTGTAGTGATGGCCATGTTGAATGTTATCTAAATTATTATATTTTGACATCAAACGACCTAAGGACCTCTTAATTTACTGATACAAATAGAATTTTCTGTTTCAAAATTGACCATGTGACATCTCTCAACTAAACATATTGAAGATGAGGTATTGTTGAACTAGAGTGCACATGCTAAAATGCAGTGTTCTTCCCAGGGCCTTTTGTCATCATGGTAATGGGATGTTATATTACTAGAATATGATGCTGTCTAAAATGATTTCCTTATGGATAGTGTAATGGGTGTGATGCTTTAATTTCTAGAAACAAGATGTTTTTTTCACAATTTGCTGTTTACCAGGATGCTATATGAAATTTGTAAGGAGAACACTGAGAATGTCTCACCTGCTTTACTGACCATGATTGATCTTATGTTGATACTTGTAGTCTTAATGATAAATATTTACTACAAGTATCACATAAATAACATTATCAATGATCCATGCCAATGAGGTCGAGATCAGATAAACCAAGCCAGACAGATGTGTACACCTTACAATCATTCCATACACCAAATATAGTTGACCTACTGCTTCTAGTATTTGAAAACAGGCCAAACCTCAAAACCTTAACATTGACCAATGAACCATGAAAATGAGATCAGTGAGATGAAACCTGCCAGACTGACATGTACACATAACAATCATTCCATACATCTCATATAGTTGACCTATTGCTTATAGTGTAGTATCTGAGAAAGAATCTTATCACTTAACCTTAACCTTGATCATTGATCCGTGAAATTAGGTCTAGGTCAAGTGAACCCTGTCTGACAGACATATAGACATTTGTAGCCGACTATGTGGTATCGATTTTGCTCATTGTTGAAGACTTATAGTTGTAAACTTCAATGTCATTTGGTCACTGTCTCTGGTGGAGAGTTGTCTCATTGGCATATCTTCATACTTTTATATTTCAAGGAACCCATATGCCAGATATAGTTATCCTATTACTCATAACAAGTGAGAAATTCACAAGATAAAAAAAGACATTTTTTTTAAGCAGTCTCTGAACCATGAAAATGAGGGCAAAGACAATGGACACATGACAAATGGAAATTTGTAATATAAGGCATCTGTATATAAGGTCGGAAGCTTCTAGGTCTTCTACCTTCTGAAATATAAAGCTTCATACAAATAGTTTATGCCACCGATGTCTCACATTCAGGCTTTACAAACTCTATCATTATATCAATGGGAACAGGATAAAGGCTTGAGTACTAAATTGCTGAAATTATCTACTTTAAATTAAAAAAAATGATATTATCTCCCTTCAATTGAATATAAATCAAACTTTCCAGTAACAATAATTTATCTGAATGGGTATATATTTTAGGCACAGGACAATTCGATAAATTTCTTCTTTTACCTGAAACAACACAGGAGTTATTTTTGCTGTTAAAATCCACTAGCCATGTTGAATCAAAAATAACAATACAATTTATAAATATTTTATGGTTTTAATTAAAAAGTTTAATATAATTACATCATAATTTCATTTTTACAATTATTTTTTTATATATAAAATTGCATAATCCTGACTCCTCTTAAATAACAAGCAAACATTTTTCTGTTACATAATATGTATTTGAGTTTGACAACCCATAAAAAATATACACTTTACTTTGAATGTGTACATGAGTATGTATTTCCAAGATAAAATGCTTTTTTCGTGGTTCTAAATGCATCACTTGTAAAACGTAGACTGAATAGTATCCTAATTGCATGCTTACTTCTTTACACAAAGCACTTGATAAAACATTTTTTTCAAGTTATTTTTTGCTCTGATCAATATGAGTGATTATAATTTCTTTTCAGGCAATAAATGATCCGTAAAAATTGTAAAAAATGTGAAAAATAAAACTTATGTTACTGTAAATGCCAATTTATCATACAAAGAAGCAGGTAACCATTTTCCTTTATTTTCTAACAATTTAGCACTTCCAAAAATCTAAACATGTTCGAGTATGGAAATTGTCTTCAAAATTTGTATCTAAAATAAAAATATTTATTTCTCCAAACCAATCTCACAAAAAATTGCTGCTACTCCAAAATTTGCCAAGATTTATTTTTGACATCTAGATTTATTTAATTTTGGCAGTAAAAGGCAGTGGTGTAGTCTGTGTGTATACTTGTAGGCTAAAGTATCCATATCATGTCAATATTGGTCATCCCATTATATTTCGTACTTGAGAAAACCAACTTTATTCATGCTGGAAAATACCAGATAAGGTGTTAATTGAATTCTTAACACTTTTACATTGTATAATGAAAGGCCTAACTCACAGACAATTTTTTGAAATATTGCATTTAACTCATTTCTTTATCATGAAATTTGTAACATATTTTTGAGGAGAGAAAAAAGTCCTATCCACATACAAGTAGGAAAATTGGGCTTGGGGAAACAAATAATATTTTGACTTTATCCTTGTAGACAAAAGGACCTATTTTCTCCAGTAACAGTTACATTTTGTGTTGTATGGTACATGTATTTAAGTATTATCAGAATCATACAAAGCAAGTCCAGTAATAAAACCCATCTATGCACGAAGCATTCAACACTGCACATATATTCTATCTTTTTATAAATAGCACCATGGCTGAAAGCATTTTCTATACATTCATTATACAGTTTAGTCTTATTTGGAATAGCTATTTTTTAACCAGAATTTTTATTTAGTTACTTGACAATGTTAATAAGAGAGTTCAGTGTTATATGCTAATCAACTTAAAGGATAATTTCTTATAAATCACAGTTTATACAGAAATAAATACAGTACACAGAATTATGATCACAATGTTATACAATAGATATTCAATTTGGCTCCAGGATTTAATTTCAATTTGTATGTAAAGTACATCATTTGTACATGAACATTAATTTCATTAAATCGCTGATGCATGAAAGAGGCTTTGATTGACTGGTTTTACACTGGTTCCTCTATCCAATTCAATAAAAAATATCAAAAATGTTCTTTTACATGTATGTGTAAAAACATCAACAGTATAAGAAGACATGATTCTTATATAATCACTTTCTATGAAAAATATCAATGGCATCTTCTTCATATTTGTTCAAAAACATTTTGAAACATGATCTTTCATTACTCCAGTTACATTAATCATAAAAAATTTCACGGAAAAACTGATCAGAATGTAAATATATATATTAACCTTTGACCTCTTGCATAAAAACAGACATGACCAAAATCATTCATTCCTGTCACACAAGTTCAAACATACATGGAAAAAAAGAGGCACCAAAATATTAAGGCTCCACCTTCGATTAGAAACCTCTTTGCTGTAATATCATCAATAACCAGGCAATATCGTAGATTCATGAATATTCATGTCAGTTTCTTGACGAAAAAAATTTAGACATCTGTAAAATGGAAAATTAAAAAAATTATTTTTTTCTTCACGCCACGATATCACTGGTACCCTTTGACAATAAATGAATCCACAATACACTACACAATTACTGGTTGTAAAAAAAAGAAAGCACATTGTTATAATCTGCACCAATTAAATTTGTTCCCTTGCTTAGACAATATTAAATTAATTTGAACTTTTCTCAATCCTTGATTCTTTGTTTTGACAATGTTAGTGTATAAAGTTTCCACTTATTACTGAATATAATAAAAGAAAAAAGAAAAACAATCATTACATTTTTAAACTTCGAATGGAAAAAATACTCTTGATCCTTCAAAGTCTGATAAACTTATACAGTAATTCCAGATAAATCATTTTTAAATGGTCAAAAATTCTAACATCCATAGATAACTTTCTAATTCCCAGTTGAGCTTTAAATATATATGCATATATTAATATATTCCCCCAATCTGAATATGTTGGCATAACATTTCAACAATGTTTAATCATATCACATTCACTCAACGGTAACTGATTTCCACTTAAAAATAAGATGATTTTCACTTCCAAATAAGTCCTACTGGTTGACATGGTGTTTTATGAAGCAGAATTTCCAAATGTCTAGCAATGGTTTTTTGTAAACTCAATTTGAATAAAGAATCCAGCAAAAGTTTCATCCAATTACAGTCCAATTTTAAAAATAGTCCTAGTATCAGTTTGTACGTTATTGCATTGTACCAAACACTGGATTATGTCTACAAATGCTTGGTCCATACTCATCATAATCTGCCTTTGTGTGACATACTTTGTAAAATTCAGGCTGAAAAAGAACATAGAAATTATTATTAAAATGTTATAATTTTTGCAATATGGTTCAGAACACAGAACCTTTGATATCCAGAAAGAATATTCTGGGGCCATTGGTGTTGATGACAGATCTTTGATTTGTTTTTAATACACTTAATTTCGTAACTTTTTTTCTAGACTCCGAGTGATTTGGAACTTATATTGTATAGAAACCTTTTTCTACTGTTTGTTGAGTCCTCTAAGAGATGTCTGGTTTTTTTTGGTCATTTGGTTGACATCTCATTGAAGAATATCCCAAGTTATTTTGTTAATTTTCATGCTTAATTGGAAATCATTGTCAGAAGACTATGTTGAAATGAGAAAGTTTAAGGCCACTTCTTTGGTTTTATTAATTTCAAAAAGTATTATAAATCCGCCATCCATAAGATGTTCATAAGACATTATTCTGTCATATATCAATATCTGTAATAGGGATTCAAACATCTTCAATTTAGTGCAAATCTGTATAAACTGCCAAAATAGCTCATTTTCAGATCTTGTAATCAAAATTAAGATATGTGCTAAGGCTTTACCGAAAAAGATCTTTTTCTAGACAATGTATTTCACAATTTTAATGTGTGTAAACAAATCTTTTGGTTAAGGCAATGACTCATATATAATTTGTCTAAAAACTATGTGTTAAATGGCCATTTTAGGCCAAATAAGTTAATTCCTACAGGTTTATTCCATCATATTGACATCACAAGTGACCTTTCTGCACTTAAATATCCAGATTATCTTAATTTACTGTTCATTTATCAATAAAATTTGATTAATTTTCAAAGGCTGGTATAATTTTTCTTTATTTTTTCATTTCAGGGGCCAATTAATGGCTCCTATCATACCTCCTTCTTTCACTATATTATATAAGAGATAATTGACTTACTGTAGATGCCAGCATACTACCACCAAACCATACAGCATATCTCTGCATATGATGTGTGATCACTTGTACATCTATTGGTTTTGGCTAAACATAAAATTATAATTTTATTTGTTATTTTATATAGTCTGTCATATAGTATGTATAGAAAGAGTAGTTAAAAGAAAACAGTAGCAACATGAGCACAAGATATGCACACCAATGGATACTGAAAATGTTTAAAAGAACGAAATTGAAACACAGTAATGATTATTAAATCAGAAGGCAGTAAAATGATCCGTCAGAAAAAGTTTACTTAAATGAAGGAGTGATATGTGGAAAATTGCCTTTATTCTAAAAGTTCTAACAACTGTAGAACGACAAACTCAATATTTTCAAAATCAAAAGGGAGCTTTTTACCACCGATTCAAATACTTCACACCATTTTCATAACATTTGATTAAGTATTCTCTAGCTTTTAGATACAAAGGTATACCATTATACACCCCATCTCTGATGGTCTTATGGAAATAGTAAAATTAAGCTCTTTTTATTGTCTACCTATCTTTGTTAATACAAACACATTTTAAAGATCTTTTCCAAATATGTTGCAATTTTTTTTTTTGATTTGGAACACATCTGTTTACATTTCTTGTTTTCATGATAAAATTAATACATTTCCTATCATTTCTGACCTTAAAAAATCATAGGTGTTCTTGGTTGATATAACTTTCAGTAAAAAACATCCAAACTAAGGTTAAAATTCAAATACGAATTATATGTCTTACACACTGTACATCATAGTTGATACAAAAGTTGGTCTTCATGGAAACAGAAATGCACAAAAAGACAAATTTACATTTAAATTTCTTCCCATATATATAAATATATTTATTGCCTCTTTTCAGATAAAACAAATTCTAAAATACCTTAATGACCTACCCTATTCTTTTCAAGGTCAACCAATAGACCTATAGGTTCTAAAGTTTATAAAGGCATTTGTATTTTGTATCACTGTGTTTATTCATACTGAACATACCTTAATTCTACCTTGACTTAATTCTTCACTAATTTTTAATCTTGCGTCTACGACTCTCTTCACATCACGCTGCATTTTTCTACCGAAATCTTTAAACATTGTTGATCCTCCAGATAGAACTACATTCTAGGTAGAAATAATATTACACATTAGCTAAAAACATATTGAATGAAAAGATAGGTGTACTGTGAATTAATTATTACATTTGATACCAATTTTCTTGGTTTTTGTGTGTAAAGGTAAACCACGAATTTAAATGTTCAACGAAGTACAAATTTTCTATAGGCTTGTATACAGACTTTGGCAAATCCTCAAAATCAAACATCCACTAAAATACAACTTTTCCTCAATCCATGAAAAATTGGTACTCATGTAAACAAATGAATCCACAGGAGTTGAAAATTTCAAATGTTTATTAAACTTTTGATTGTGTTTGTTCTAGATCTGTGCCATCTGACATGTTTGCCCTTTTTTCATCCCATCACAATAGGACAATATAATTGTCAGAAATTGTTCCCTTATTAATTATTTGGTATATATGTTGGACCCTAAAGTGCGATGGGGAAGCTAAAACGTGATGGTCATGCTAAAGTGCGATGGCCCACGCTAAAGTGTGATGGTTTGATACGCTAAAGTGCGATGGTATGTGCTATTCATTTGAACACGCTAAAGTGCGTTTTTCCACAAAAGTATCGATGTTACAACGTTAAACAACATTATGACGAGAATGTTTGTCCAGAAGAAGAGAGAAACAAATGATCACAATCAGGGACATCTTTGGTTGTTGCTGGAAGAGGTTAACTTAATTTGTAAAATTGTTAAAAGAAATTTAATCAAAACTATGTGGGGTGCCAAAAAAGTCTTCTTTTTTACTTTCTAATTGAATATTTCTAGAAAAAAAACATCAATATGGTTTGTTATTTCTTTTAAATAATGAATGTACGTCAACTAGACAGCAACCTAACGACAGATGTGTAGTAGCATCATATGATTGCCAATAAGACAACTCTCTAGCCAAGACCTAATGTCATTAATGTATGCAACTTTAGGTTATAGTATGACCTTTAACGGGGAGCATTGGTTTACACCGCATAGTGTTCTATTAAGACCAAAGGGCCTCAAAACAATCAGTGTAAAACAATTCAAACGAGAAAAATAACAACCTGATTTAAATACAAAACAATAGACGAACAGCAAATATGAAATATACCAACAAATGACTACCACTAAATTCCAGATATACTAACTACTGTAATGTAATCATTACACTTTTTGGACAACTATCTTACTTTAAATAAAAAGTAAGAAGATGTAGTATGAACTATCCATCCAACCCCAAATGTCGTTCGTGTATGCAACTAATAATCATACGGCCTTCAGCGTAAAGCCTTGGCCCATAATGCATAAGCTATATACATGATATAGGGTTATACAATGACCAGTGTAAAATAATTCAAAAGAGAAAGACTACGGCTTGATATATAAATAAAACAATAAACGAAAAAGTAATAGGAACTCAGCAACAAAAGAAAACCATTGTCTGAACTACATTCCCGTTACACCATCGGACTTTAGCGTGTCATACCATCGCACTTTATCGTGTTATCTGATCGCACTTAAAAACAAACAACCATTGCACTTTAGCATCTGACACCATCGCACTTTAGAGTACGATCACACTTTAGAGTCCTACATATATATAATTTTTTTATCGTCTAATGTAGTTAATCTGTTTATCGATTTCTGACAATTATATTTTCCATAAGTGGCGATCATTCCCATTGTTACTGACGTGCCAGGAAGTGGTAACATTCAACAATGGCCAGGTTGGAAGAGAAGCCTTGTGAAGTGGTAGGAACAATGGGAAGTTCGTCCATTTAGATACCAAGCCTTTAGAACAATGTCATGTATCATATAAAAGTAAAATATGAACTCAAGTTACATTGTAAACAAACTTTGTTTTTCTATATTTATCTTATAACTCTTTATTGCTACTTTCACTTTTCATTGTTCCTCTCATCTTGACAACACACATTGTGACGTCAAATTCAAGGTAACAGTTTGGGTACTTCAGTAAATAATTTCTGTATGTAAATTGTCCTGATGACGCCAGCTTGCAGGCGAAACATGTAGACCATAGTAAACAAGAGTGCACACACTGAAATGTCTCGCCTTCTTTAATAACCATTGATATTATATTGATAGTCCTAAATATAAAGCTTTACTACAACTATCGCATAAACTTCACATGATCCAAGAAAATGAGGTCAAGGTCAGATGATACCTGCCAGACAAACATTGACCAATGAACCATGAAAATGAGGTCAAGTTCAGATGAACCATGCTAGGCAGGCATCTACAGCTAACAATTCTTCCATACAACAAATTTAGTTGACCTATTGCTTATAGTTTAAGAAAAACAGACCAAAACACAAAAACTTAACACTGAGCAATGAACCTTGAAAATGAGGTTAAGGTCAAATAAAACCTGTGTGATTGACATATAGATCATAAAATATTTCCATACACCAAATATAGATGAACTATTGCATATAGTATTAGAAAAAAAAATACCAAAACTCAAAAACTTAACTTTGACCACTGAACCATGAAAATGAGGTCAAGGTCAGATGACACCTGCCAGCTAGACATGTACACCTTACAATCATTCCATACACCAAATATACTAGACCTATTGCTTATAGTATCTGAGATATGGACTTGACCACCAAAACTTAACCTTGTTCACTGATCCATGAAATGAGGTCGAGGTCAAGTAAAAACTTTCTGACGGGCATGAAGACCTTGCAAGGTACGCACATACCAAATATAGTTATCCTATTACTTATAATAAGAAAGAATATAACATTACAAAAAATCTTAACTTTTTTTCAAGTAGTCACTGAACCATGAAAATGAGGTCAAGGACATTGGACATGTGACTGACGGAAACTTCGTAACATGAGGCATCCATATACAAAGTATGAAGCATCCAGATCTTCCACCTTCTAAAATATAAAGCTTTTAAGAAGTTAGCTAACGCCGCCGCCGCCCGATCACTATCCCTATGTTGAGCTTTCTGCGACAAAAGTCGCAGGCTTGACAAAAACTATCAACTCATTGCCTTACCTTATAAAGACCTCTGCGGACATCTATAGGACAATTCTGTATAACTGTATCTACAACTTCTGAGATAGGTGTTATAAAGTCTGGATTTGAAAACTATAAAAGAAATATACATAATTGTACCAAAGTAGGTTTATTCTTTAATTTTTAGTTTTCAAATATTTACAACAAAGATGGAGAAGAAACATAACATATTTTTCTTTATTTTTTAAATGATAGATGTTATAGTTTCAGCATTCATGCACACTGATTTCTATCAGTTGTTTTTATTTGGTGCATCTAGATCAATGGGAAGTTTGTTTCTTACTTCTCTGAGGCATTTGTTGACATTATTTCTATATTTTACTTATGGCCACGACATTGTCTTTCTTCAAACTGATGGTATTGTCTTATTTTTTGGCTTAACTTTTGTGATTATACTATCCATTAATATATACACTTAATAGACAATTTCCTGTTAGACTTTTTAACTTAATTGTTATGCATATAAGGGAAGATAATACTCCTTAAAGAAAGGGAAATACATTTTGAAATAACAAAATTCGTAAGGGTTCCGCGGAACCCAGTGTCTCGCCTACTTTTTCTGTTAATCGCAGACTCAATAAAAATATTCCTCTTGATACTATCTTTTGATTGTAAGAAGCTTCTGTCCAAGTTTGGTAAAATTCCAGGATAGTTTATGATTTAAAATAACTGTTTAAAAACTTTAACTGCAGACTGAATTTAATGTTAACTGGAAGAAAACAAAATTTCCTTCTAGATACTAGCATTTGATCATAAACAAGCTTCTATCCAAGTTTGGTACAAATCCAAAATAGTATAAGAAAGTTATTAAAATTTTAAAAACTTTAACCACAGAGTGAATATGTTGTTTCCTGGCAGAAAATCTAAGTCCATTTAAAAGTAAAATACGGAAAAAATGGATTTATTTTTTTTTACAAAATTTCCTTCTAGATACTAGCTTTTGATCATAAACAAGCTTCTGTCCAAGTTTGGTACAAATCCAAAATAGTATAAGAAAGTTATTAAAATTTTAAAAACTTTAACCACAGAGTGAATGTGTTGTTTCCTGGCAGAAAATCTAAGTCCATTTATAAGTAAAATACGGAAAAAATGGAATTTTATTTTTACAAAATTTACTTCTGGATACTACATGTATCTTATGATCATAAACAAGCTTCTGTCCAAGTTTGGTAGAAATCCAGGATAGTTTAAGAAAGTTATTAAAATTTCAAAAACTTTAACCACAGAGTGAATATTTGTGGACGCCGCCAACGACAACGACGACGCAATGTAGGATCGCTATGTCTCGCTTTTTCGACTCAAGTCGAAGGCTCGACAAAAATGAAAAACTGGATTACATTTGTGTACCATTTTCAGTTTTAAAGGCCCTAAAAACAAAACAAGTTTAAAAGTTCTACCGAGATGTATATTTTTTCATATAAAAGTCTTAACATAATGCAAACTGACACAGATTTCTTATTTAATATGCCAAACATCTGAGCAAACAGTGAGATGACAAACAGTTGAACTGTTCTTAGATTTTTAGGGTAAAATTAACTAGTTTGTTCTTATGTTGTACTGTCCCAGGTTAGGAGAGGTTGAGTGCTAAAAAAACATGTTTAAACCTGCCACATTTATTAAGTGCCTGTCCCAAGTCAGGAGCCTGTAGTTCACTAGTTTTTTGTTGGTTCATGTCTGTTATATTTGTTTTAAAAAAATGTTTTATTATAAATAAGGCTGTTAATTTTCTCAATTGAATTGTTTCATATTTTTCATGTTGGGGCCTTTTATACCTGACTTTAGGGTATGGGGTTTTCCCATTGTTGAAGGCCATATGGTTGCCTATAATTGCTTACATCCACTTCATCTGAACTCTGGAGGATAGTTGTCTTATTGGTAATCATACCACATCACCTTATTTTTATATTATACTATTTAACAGCTGTATCAATGATCACAATTTACACAAATGCAAATAGTAGAATACCTCTGGATGGAAGAAAATTTCTGGACCAAGGAATCTTTCATAGCCTACATCTACAGCAAACTTTTGTCTGGTTATACTATTCATGCCTTCAAATTTCTTCATCCATTTTGATGGATCTGCATCATATTTGGCAAATTCTTTAGCTATGTCTGGACACACATATGAAAATCTTTCCTAAAAAAAATATAATAATTTATCTTTGCTGATAAATGACATTATTATTTTACTAGTGACATTATATCTTTGTCAAAGATCTGATTAAATCAATGTGACCTTTTTACCTGTTTGGTCTAGTACCTGATTTTTAGCACTTACTACTGGATAATTTAGAATCTGGTGATAGGATGTTTGCATGGCAGGAGATGTTTATTTGTGTTCTGTGGAATTGTTCTTCTATTCACAAATTTTTTTGTTTTTTTTTGTCATGGCATTGTCAGGTTTTCTTTGACTAATGAATTTTTAATGTTGCCTTGGTATTTCTACCTCTGTTATTATAAACAATCTTACAAATAGAAAGAAATATCAAATGCTGTGCAAACATTTTATAATAATAAATTAAACAAGCATTCTGTGAGTATTGCCAGGCAATACATAGTCCCCTACCGCTTAAAAATTCATTGTACTGAACAAAATTCTAACTTGATCTATAACTTGTCATGGTGTAAACTATATAACAAATATCAGGACAATTACACATGTACTTCAAGCATGACGAAAAAAAGTGGAAAATTTATTATTTGAGTGAATTTTCCAAGGACCATAACTCTGCACAAAATCATTAGACAGGACCAAAATTCGATGTTGATCTGTAACTTCTCATGATAAAACTATATATCAATCATCAAATCAATATCTTCAAGCATGACAAAAAAAAAGTGTGGAAAACTGATTATCTGAGCAAATTTTCTAAGTTCAAGGACCATAACTCTGCAAAAAATCTTGAGACCGGAACAAAATTCAAACTTGATCTGTAACTTGGCATGATAAAACAATACAACCAAATATCAAATCAATATCTTCAAGCACGAAGAAAAAAAGTGTGGAAAACTCATTTGCCAGATTGACGGATGGACAGACAGACAGACAGAGTGCAAACCTAAAATCCCCTTAGACTTCTTCAGTAGGGGACTAAAAAAAAAATAGATGGGTTAAAAATCATCAACATGATTAAGGACATGGTAAAAACATGGTAAAAACAGACACAGTATTTCTCTTGCTTTTTTTTTCTTTTTCAACTGATAAATTCTTAATGTCAAAATAAAAAAAAAAACATTGATGACGGTTTTCCTACTTACCCCCCTCACCTAAATTGTCAATCCTAAAATTCCAATAGGTACCCTTGGTAGTGAATTGTGACAAAGTTCCAGGACTCAATATTCTCAAGTTATAAAAATTTAACATCCCCGCCCCAATTTTTTTTTTTAACAAAAGCCCATTTACTTGCTGCACTTCTGCAAACTTTAACAAAAGCCGCTTTACTTGCTGCACTTCCTAAAACTTTAACAAAAGCCCATTTACTTGCTGCACTTCCTCAAACTTTAACAAAAGCCCATTTCCTTACCATGCTTACTGCACTTCCTCAAACTTTAACAAAAGCCCATTTACTTGCTGCACTTCCTCAAACTTTAACAAAAGCCCATTTACTTGCTGCACTTCCTCAAACTTTAACAAAAGCCCATTTACTTGCTGCACTTCCTCAAACTTTAACAAAAGCCCATTTACTTGCTGCACTTCCTCAAACTTTAACAAAAGCCCATTTACTTGTTGCACTTCCTCAAACTTACTTTTATTGCTTTTGCTGTTTCTAATGATTGTTCTGGTGGAATGCCAACTTCTCTTTCTCGTAATAACTGCTGAATAAAATATGTTATATCTCTCCCAGCAATGGGAATGTGTTTAATACAACTACCTATCACATATCCTTCAGCCTGAAATGACAATGACATTGACTTCTAAATAATATATTATAAAATATTTGGAAGAAAATTATTAACTTATTTTTATATTTTTTTTACTTAACAAATGATATCATGCAGAAACTGTTGTGTTTACAGACATATGACAACAGCAGCACCAAACAATTACAGGACCAGGGCTCGCGCTATCAGGCGACTGGGACTTTTCCACATGTGACTTCGCTTTGTCCGACCGTCAAAAGCGATATCTAGTCACCCCGGTGTTCACAATAGTCGCTTTCAGTTGCTTTCGTCATTGGCAATTTTCAATTTTTACTAGATCAATGAATCAGCAATATTTCATTTATAAGCTAGTGAAGAAATTCTATGACATAAACGATTTATTTCTTTAATAAAGAGGTGAAAGCATTGTTTTAAAGATTGGCTGTATGTTATTTCAAACAGACAACTTTATAAGAAGTATTTTCTTTCACTTCCGGTACGTATACTTGTTACTCAAGAGCGTACATCAAAACATTCTGATTTTTCAACAAAAAAAGTTTGTTACTTCATTAGAACATGTAGAAAGTGATGAAATTTGCCATTAATTGATGATTCATCCCTTAATTGCATTAACCCTTAGACTGCTGCATTTATTTCTATTGTACTTTTGTGTATTGCTGAATAAAAATTTAATTAACGACTACTTTAACATGTTTAATTTCAGTTAGTTGTCTGTCTGACTGATTTCATATGCATAATTTATTTTAGAGATAATTAACTGTGCTAAACTGATTGTGCATGTAACACTTTTCGTATTTGTTCTTTAAAATAAAAGTTCCACTGCCAACTTACTACTGGAATAACATGGGTAACACCATCCCCAGAATCTATCACTGTTCCTGTTAGAGTTCTTTCCCCTACTTGTCGTGATGTCCACGAAGCAGCCAACGCTAACACAGCCTGTCAAATAAAAGGCAAGATAAACATTGATTCATGATTTCACATGATAGCAGGCTAAGCAAAACAATTTGGTTGTCATTTTCACTCTCAACCTTGACTTTTTGTCTTCATTATTTTCTTTGGAAGTCTTGGCTGTGTTGTTGAGTTGCTGTCTTATTGATGTTTATCTACATCTCCTTTATATTCATGATTTTTGCACACTGAAATCTTCAAGATAATATCTTTGAATAACTTTAATACTTAGCACAATGTTCATTGCGAAAATAAAAATAAACACATTCATTAACAATATTTGAGGATGAAGAATTGTCTCCCTTGCTTTTCTTTCTTATAAATTATCTCCCTTGCTCATTTATAACATACCTGTACAGCAATATACAATCCAGGTACATTGAAAGATTCAAACATTATTTCAGCTGTGTATTCTCTATTTTCTGGTGTGTTAAGTGGCGGTTCTGTCTGAATAAACAAATAATATTCAAATCAAATATATAAAACAATTCAATACAAATTTGTATATAATTAACATGATATTCCTTACATATGTGCAGCCATATGACAAAAAGGGGGGCATGGATAGCACTAATTGCCTAAACAACTGTTTGTATGTTGTATAAAAAACCATCTTCAACCTTTTAATATAGCTTTAGCTACACAACAGCCCGTGTGGATTTTGCTTTTTCCACCGGCCCACCGTGGGCAGTCCACCCGTGCCCACTCTAGCTATAATCTCTTTTTTGTAAAAATATTGATTACAAATGCTTATCTGCTTTTTTCAAGTGATTGTACTTGCAAGTCTTTAGATGAAACAAAAGAAATTGAATGCCCACTCCTACAGGTGGGCAGAGTGGACAAGGTACTAATTTTGCCCACCCGGTGCCCACTCCCATGGTGGGCCGGTGGACAAAGCAAAATCCACCCGAGCTGTAGTGTAGCAGTGAAAAGTTATTTTGCATGTTTACCTTTTTGTGTGATGTTTATTTTGTAATTTACAGCTTCTCTTTTAACATTGTCTCATTCATTTCTCCTGTTCAAAATTATGCCTTTTAAATAAAGAACACATCTTACTTTTTCCTTGTTTCTTCTTTCCATAAACTAAGATTATAAACTGAGTTTCTCTAAATCTTAGCCCATTTATACTTTCCTCACTTATTTTTTAATAATAAATGTGAGTTACATTTGAACAAACTTAGTTCTTCATTGGTCCAAATTCAATTATGATGTCAATTGTTTTGCTTCCTTCCGGATTTGCTCTAGTGATATCACAAAAAGGTGACCTTGTTGGATGACCTCACTAAACAGAACACATCTATTTGAAGAACATTGGAAAAGGAAGACAAATTGCATCTAAAAACCCTTAAAAGTCAGATTCCACCACAGTGTGTTCACAATGATATTTCTCCACATTCAACAGTTTAATACTAAAAATTTAAACCCCTTTATAAGCTACTTGTTTAAATTTGAAAATTTAACTGTCTTACGTGGAGAAATATTGTATCACACTGTTTTCCTAATTACATAAGCAACGTCAATGATTTTCTTTCTAATGAGAAAATCCGTATAACTCAAGACTTGATAAGGAAAATTTCACAAAAAAAGAAAAAAGCAAAATTTTTGAAAATAGCGATAATCTATATTTACCAGTAAAAAATAATGATCCTCTGGTTCAGCTCTGAGGTATTTAAATATCACTTGTTCCATATATCGTTCCATTAAATCCCAGTCTTCAATTATACCATGTCTAACTGGCCACTGAAAGGTATTTAATATTGTTTTAATATAAGATTTTGTAATCTACATGTAGGTGCAAGATAAAAAGTCAGTAACATATTAAACATACATGTAGGTTGGTTTAAAAGAGAAATTTAATTTTTTTCCTCCACTTTAATGATTTGTTAACAAAACGAAGGCATAAAAATATTTCGCAGATTCCGTAAAACAAAAGGAAATGTCTGTCAAAAGGAACAAATTAATAAAAATAATACTAACTGTTATTTGAATGATAATCTGTGAATGTTTTAATGAATAATAATGTTAAATGAAGCAAGAAAACCAATTATTTGATATGATTGTTTCCATTAATAGTAGAAATGATCAAAACAAGTTGGAAAATGTGAAATGTTTGACAGAAATTACTTCCCATTTTTTGACGCAAGGTTTATGTGTTACAATGCTTTATGTTGACACTGGTATAATGGTTTTAATAAGTGTAGTCTAATTATTCACTCATCTCAGTTTCAGAATCTATTGCTTTTCTTTAATTAAAAACATCTGTGATATATTTTTTTTTGAATTTCAAATAACTTGCTTAATAGATGCTTGTTTGTCAATAAATGTTATGATAGCAACATGTTCATAAAATCTTGCCACATCATTGTAGGTACTTACATAAGCCTGTTAAAATTGTATTTCATAATGAACATTAAACAAACACATGTTGGATCTTCCAATTAACTTTATTTAATCAATAGTTTTATCAAATCTGTTGCTAACATAAGTTCTGTCAAACTTGCCATCTTATGCTAGCAACATTTGGATGTGCTACAAATTAGAGTTATCGGTCCTGGTTTGAAATCTTGTTAAATGTCAGGCTGCTGTATTTTTCAGGAGTTCTAAAAATGACTTTCAAGTAGGATAAGATCTCCAATGTTAGTTAAATATCTCAAATATATATCGTCTGTCAAATTTATCTTATGTTAGCGCAATCTTATGTAAGCATCAAGTCTGTCAAAATCTTATGTTAGCAACACTATTTAGTCTGTCAAATCTTATGTAAGCAACAATAACGTCTGTCAAATCTTATGTTAGCAACAATAAAGTCTCAAATCTTATGTTAGCAACAATAAAGTCTCAAATCTTATGTTAGCAACAACGTTCATGTCTGTCAAATCTTATGTTAGCAATTCCAAGATAATCTTATTTTAAAGCTTTTGCAATTTCTTTTTTATTAGTATAGATGTTAAAAAATATTTTTTTCAATTTGCCTTTTATATTTAAGCAAGATATACATCCAAACCTTGAAAAAACTGAATATATCAGGATTGTTCGTGTTGCTAAGTTATGCTAACATAAGAATTTTCTGTCAAAATGTCTGTCCTTTTTCTTATGATAGGAACATTTTTTTAACGTGTCCTTTATTTAAAAAATATGATGTGAATAGATCTATTTTTTGTCAAAAAGTCTTTACTATATAAGTATAACTTGTATTCCAAAACAGAAGTTCATTGGTGTTGATTAATGTCAAACATAATTATGGAATCTGCCTACAGTTAATAAAAGCAGATTATTTAAAAATCATTTCAATTAACATTAAAACCTAAATTTTAAGGTAGATCTACTACTACAAGAGGGTGTTTAACGACCTTGACTACCCATGGTTGTCTTGCACGGTCTGTAAAATGACAAAAAGGTAGAACAGGTGTCTTCTGTCATCTTGAATTGCAAAAATAGTTGAATAAAATCAGTCTAGATATTAATGAAATATGCAAATTTTGTAAGAAGAATGTAATTCATTTGTAAGACTTTCATCTAAATGTAGAGAATTTTGTGTTTTATCTTATTTTCAACACTGTTCTTGTTAATACAAAATATTTTTTGTATGATTCATTTTTTGCAACTCTGCCACATTAGGGGAAATAACTCAGATAAGGCTTCTTTTATGAAGGAATGTGTTATGACAGTAAAGACACAATGTATTATGCCTTGTGACCTAGAAAACAATCATGACCTATCAACCGTAGTCTTTAAACAATAAAGTGTATAAACCCAAAACACACATATTTTTTGTGGCCTTTGCTTTGCCTCAATTAGTTAAATAAGTATTTGATATTGTCTCTCACATACACCTTTACCCCCTACACTGATGAGTATTGTGTAGTCATAACATACACCTTGCAAACAAACCTTTAAGCCTGTTATCTACCATTTTCATTGTAACCACAAATATTTTTTTCTAAATTAATCTTACCTTTACACTGTATGATGTTGCATTCAAAGCTTCATCTCCAATAAAGAAATCGAGGTCCTCCACCCCTTTACCAAGACGTTGTATAGCTTTATCTCCCACTGATGCAGATTCTTTTACAGCAATGGCTGACGGCACAATGAACTGTGGTTCTGTGTTACCGGCATACCCCATCTTTGTGTACCTGTACAAATGCACACAAAAAATAACGCGTTTCATTATATATATATATATCAGCAATTTCACAAAATTCGACAATTAACCATATTAATTATAACCAAATTCTTTCATGTATTGTCTACAGTCTTATACCTCAAAATTAAAATAGCCAGGCAGGGGTGCAGATTAGAGAGTACCATAAGCAAAAAGAGAAAATTCATACTTCATCATGTTTGTTTAAGTTCCGAAATGTTTGCTTTTGAAATTCAGTGTACCAGCTAGGATTTTAAAAGGGCGGGGTGCCTATCATGAAAAGGACATTTAATGTGTAAAATGATAATATGCAAAAAGGGTATGTTTTAATAAAATTTTAATCAAACACTGGCAATGACTGGTTAGGCAAAAAAAAAAAGTATATGCCTGTTTAAGGTTACATCAATAAAAAAAATAGGGTAGGTAGGTCCATATATCCATTTTATTTTTTCATCTTATTTTTTGCGACATGATTATGGGCCATTGGGTCTGTCTTGCCGTGGTCTGAGTTTTCCATGGGTCGAGTTCACCCAAATCTTTAATAATTGGATTATTTCCTTATGGTATTGATTGAAAAAAATGGCTGCAAAGTGTTTATTTCATCACACGAGTCGTGAAATTCCTTAAAAAAGTTGTCATATTCACGTTTGTGAAAGTCAGGATGTATCAGGAAATTGATCTCTTTTATTGGCAACTCTAAATAAGTTTCTGACACGAGTTCAATTAATTTTTCACTTCACATAAGAAATAACATGTCTTAGGGTTGGCGCTCAAAAGCAGGGTCAATTGGGTAACTGTAAACGGACATATATATATATATATATACTTTTTTGCCTTATAACTACACAAGTACAACATGAATACCAATTACATTACTGAATGAATGAATGAATGGTGCCAGTGGAGGGCAGGGTACTTTTTTAGGTTGGGAAAGGGCAAACTGCTAAGTGTGTTTTGATTTACCCAAAGCATGTAAAGGTCCATCAAACATTAATGTCATGAATAAATAGAACAGTCTTTCACTAAAGGTTGTATTTGTTTGCAATTTACACATTCTTATCCTATATCCCTTTAATAACAGACACAAATTTTCCAATTGTTTTTTTATGATTGTGGCTTATTATTACACTTGTGTGTGTGTGAAGAGTTCTTGAATAATTTACAAGCATGTTCAATTTCTACTTGATGATAATGGAAACCATGTTGTATCCATAAAAATACCAAGAACATTTCACACAAAAGATTTTAAATAAAATGCTCTGCTGGGGCGCAGCTTGATACGACCGCAGAGGTCGAACCCTGAACAGTTGGGGCAAGTATGGACACAACATTCAAGCTTGATACAGCACTGAATTTGGATTGTAATTAAATATTTGACACAGCATAGGTTTCTGACACAGAATGAATGTGGTCTAAGAACTTAATTTTTTTTAATTTACCTATTCAAACCATATCGTTATTATTTGCTTTTATATATAAATCAGAAATAACCAATTTAAAATGGAAAATTTAAAGAAAAAAAATCCCCCCCAAATTTTTTGAACCCCCTTATGATTCATCATCCCCAAACTCAATCCCAGCCTTCCCTTTGTGGTATGGTACCTTGCAGTACAATTTCAGAGAGATCCATACACTTGAACACAAGTTATTGTCTGGAAACTAGAAAAATGCTTGTTTTTTGGCCCTTTTTTGGCCCCAAATTCCCAAACGTTTCAGGCAATTACCCCCAAACTCAAACCCAGCTTTCCCTTTGTGATATGGAACCTTGTGGTACAATGTCAGAGAGATCCATACACTTACACACAAGTTATTGTCATGAAACTAGAAAAATGCTTGTTTTTTGCCCCTTTTTGGCCCCTAATTCCTAAACGTTTTGGGCAATTACTTCCAAACTAAATTCCAGCTTTACCTTTGTGATATGGAACCTTGTAGTACAATTTCATAAAGATCCATACACTTACACATAAGTTATTGTCATGAAACTAGAAAAATGCTTGTTTTTTGCCCCTTTTTGGCCCCTAATTCCTCAAATTTGGAGGCAATTACCCCCAAAATCAATCCCAGCATTCCCTTTGTGATATGGAACCTTGTGGTACAATGTCAGAGAGATCCATACACTTACACACAAGTTATTGTCATGAAACTAGAAAAATGCTTGTTTTTTGCCCCTTTTTGGCCCCTAATTCCTAAAAATTTGGAGGCAATTAACCCCAAAATCAATCCCAGCATTCCCTTTGTGATATGGAACCTTATGGTACAATGTCAGAGAGATCCATACACTAACACACAAGTTATGTCTGGAAGTTACAAAAATGCTTATTTTTGGCCCCCAATTCCTTAACTGTTGGTACCATAACCCCCAAAATCAATCCCCACCTTCCTTTTGTGGTATTAAACCTTATGGTAAAATTTCATAGAGATCCATTCACTTAAACTAAAGTTAGAGTGCGAAAACCAATGTGTCTTCGGACAATGACGCCAACGTCATACCAATATACGACCACAAATTTTTTTTGCTGTCGTATAAAAACCAGAGGTTCCATAGACGCTAAAATAAATTATTTAAGATTATTACTTTGTTCATTTTTTCCCCTTGTTAGCAATAATAAAAAAACTGCATTCTCTGACTTTATAGAAATATGTATGTTGTTAGTTGAAAAGTTAATTTCCAAGGTATACAACTGCCAAGAAAAGAAAAGGGGGTAATTTTTATGCTAGACTTTTTACTGTATGTAAGGTTTTGCATATTTTGTATTAATGCTTGAAAACTAATTCTCTATGACACTGAGTTTTCAAATTTTGTTTAGCTTTTTTTTAGACTTATTAATCGTGAATATTAAGAGAAAAAAAAATTAGCAGAACTTTCCAATATTTAATCAAAATGGTGGTGGCCCCAAAAAAGATATTTATATTTAAACTTGTTTTGATTTTTGCTCCCATTTATCACTTTCATTTACAGGCCATTGAATGCATGGTTTATATTTGTCGACCTGGTTTGACAGTCCTTTATTTTCAAAAGTCTGAAAACTGTTGTGTTAATACAGGAAACATTGATATTTGTCATATACATGTACACGGCTATATCCACAATAAAATTTTAATCACATTGAATCTTTTCTACATTTGATATGACATTTGGTTTCTTCAACCTAGAACCCTCGATTTTCTTATGTAAGAGCCTAGGTTAAATTTCTTTCCTAGTGTGTACATACATGAATATCACCTGCTATTACACTGAACTTAGTGCCAAGTGTCTTGATATCTTAGACATTTCTTTTCAATTATTACAATTTTAGAGAAGATACTGAAGTTAAAATATTGCTATCTGCCTATACTATAGCTGATTGCATTTAAAATGAATGCAAATAACATAAAAAGCCTTCATTACTTTCATTTCCTGTATCAACTTGAACATTTTTAATAACTTTTTCTTGTATTTACAAATTGTACAAACCCAGTTCCACAGTCAATAATAACTGCTGGAGTCCCTGTGGGACCAAAGGACTTTCCGAACGACATCTTATTGAATACACGCCCAGAATATTGCAATAAGTATAAAGATGGCTGAAGGAGATGGTCCTTGATGTCCTCAAGGAAGTGACAACTTTGTCATCAGGTTTATTGCTATTTTGTCATAAAACGTAGCTTCCTGTTCTATTTACATATTCATAAACCGGCAATACACAATTTTTGTTAATAGATCACGTGAACAAACTGAATAAGAAGGAAGTATTTAGTGTTCATTTTAACAACCAATACAAAAGATGTAGATATTGTTTACTGGAGACGGTGCAAATGCATTAAATGCATACACCTTTCAGCAAATCCGCCCATTTTTATTTTCGCAGGTAGTAGGGTGGGTTTTTAAGGGGGATTGAAGTTATTTGTTGCATACCCGGTTCCACAGTCTACTACAACCGCTGGAAGTCGTCCAGCCATTGTTTATGATTGAATGTATGTTAAATAAAGTTGTTTGGAGTTAAAAACTGAAAGCAGGAAGTGACTCAGCCGGCGACATGAGAAACAACATGGCCGATGGGAGGTGATTACCACATTCTTTGCAGAACACTTAATTTTAAATTAAACCGTCACTACTCAAAATGCAGTAAAAAGGTATTTTTGGTCCTTTAAATGGTTTATTTTAAGTATAAATTTAGACGTAGTAAATTCATATAAAGCCATAACAAATGAGAAATGTGGTAAATAAACTGAATTATACGGATACCAGTCGAAGGTTATGAGGTACAAAACGGGGACTACTTTATTATTTGAAAATACTTGTAATTTTTTTTTATGCGCACGTTTGAGTGGGGTCTTCAATATTGTTCCAAACAAATAGCATCGTATTGTCTTGTTTATAATTAGTTTGTTTTGTTGTTTGATTAAAAAGTTTTGTCTCGTTTGATTTTATAGAATCCGCCCTAGTATATATATATATCTGTTCGCACAGGGTCCATTTGCCCTGATTTTTATTTTTTCTATTGTTGTTTAGTTGCATAATGTTTATAATTGAATAGAGTATGTTTAAATTTTGTTGAAAAATTCGCCAATTATTTGTATTGCTGCAACCGAATAGTCATTTTCCTTTGATTTGTAGAATACTGGAATACAATGTATTTATCTTTATTGATATTTGTGAACATATTAATAATTCTAGTCAGTCAATTTATGCAGTATATTAATAAATGAACAGTGACAGAACTTATAAATCCTTTTCATGTTTTCAATTCGTACACCATTTATTTTACTCATTCCAAGCTGACTAGTTTAACAAAATGTTGTTTTTATTATTAATCAATCAAAGACAATTACTACAAAAATCAGTGAGAATTATTATTATGAAAAATTAATGCTCCAAAACAAGCCATCTACTTTTAAATATTTCCATGTGTTTTCATGAATTTCGAGAACTTATACCATATAAATAGCTGAATAAGTTTATTTAACATTTAATATTAATAGAGACACATAATACATTGTATTACATGTCTCTGATATTAATATTTTTTGATAACCGACCGTGCAAGGGCTGTATAGCCAGTCAAGGTCGTTAAAAACTCCCATCATCATTTTTAATATAATAAAAGTAGGGAGAACGAACCCAGGGCGAACGGATTCTATGGGCGAACGAACTCAGGGCGAACATGTTATCAGGGCGAACGGACCCGATACCGATTTTATCATGGTTGTTTTTTTTTTTTGGTTCCTGGGGGTTTGCTTTTTTTTAGGGGGAAAAGGGGGGGGGGTGAAGTTAAGCTGTTTACCTGTGTTTATTTGCCAAAGTTCTGTGAGTTTTTGTTAAAAAATCTTACTGCATGCACGTCCGCTAAAATCGGCAAACCTCGGGAAAAAACAAGATTAGCCAAACTACTGAAACAAAATCAATCATTCAATAAATCTATCAGTATTATTTGGTCTTCATAGTGCACTCTCTATATGTCTTTATTTCTCAACATACTACATTACATGCTATAGAGATACACACAATATATCATTTCATAATGCGTAATGTACAGACATGTATACAAAAGAATATAAGAATAAGACAGAGGCACATGATTACAGATGTTAAAACGAATAGGAGTTTAAATAAGTAGACCTACATGGTTTACCTATGAGAGCCTACAAGAATATTAGCTAACCTTATAAATTTTGATGTTAAGATCATACTGTTCATCAGTTCATGAAATATTAATGAATTTGGTGGGTTTCTAATTATTTCTCGAAAAAATATTTACGGTCATCAGTTAAATACAGAACATGTAAAAATATAATGAAATTCATCTCCGAGCTCACCGTTACAAAATAATCAATTTCAATTTTCTCTTAATCATGCAGTTGCAATATTTTCCATCTACCAATCTCAATTGGCAATTTAGGATTCTAAATCTACATAAAGAAATAATATATCGTCTAAACTTTTAGGTTAATCATATTCTAGTTCACAGTTTTCTTTATAAAAATGATAGATGAGTGCTTTTGATGATTTGTGTACCCAACAATGTACATTATTGCGACATGTCTGTTGAAACTGTTCAAATGGATTTCACTTGAACATAGTATAAAGCCATGTATCACTTATAAAACTACCGACTATCCCACACAAATGTCAAACCACAGTCATCAAGTAGTTATATCATTTCTATATGTATGCGATGAAAACTTCTATAAAATTGCAGATTTTTTTTTATAATTTCCAGGTAATCATTTTGTCCAGTAATTAATTATACGGAGTTTAGTAACAAACCTTTCTAAAATTGTCCGTTTATGAATTTTGAAATTATTTAGAAGCTAAGGTTTCAACTCCCTCAGAGAAAATTGATCTTCGATGGATTTGGCTATTTTTTAGGGTTGTATAGCTATTCAACTGTTTCGGTTCTTATACATCCTTGGCTTTCAAATATTTGGCATTGAGCGTTCCTGATATGAAGGTAAAAAAAGATAATAATAATAATAATGATAATGATAATGATAATGATAATGATAATGATAATGATAATGATAATGATAATGATAATGATGATAATGATAATGATGATAATGGTGATAATGATAATGATAATGATAATGATAATGAAGATGATGATTATGATGTTGACGATGACGACGTTGAAGCTGATGCTGATGTTGATGTTGCTGATGATGATCCAATAACATGCGGAGGATGCACTGAAATCGTTCTAATCCCCATCCATTCTTCCTTTCATTCTCCCTATGTTTGTATGTTCGTTGGTTCGTTCGTCACATCGTTCGTTTTTCCTTCGTACATTTAAACGTATTGACATAATTTTTAGAATGAAGTTAATATATGAAATAAACACCCGTATAGTAAACATAAATGCAATTCTCAATCTTGAAAATTGAAAATAGGCACAGAATCTAATGATCATTAAATCAGCCACATTTTATTGAAAGTCAATTGTGTAATTATATTATTCAAGAAGAAAATAAGTTGACATTTATGACGGATCGATTTAGATGTATGTAGTACCAATGCTTTTTTAACGGATTAGCATTATATGAATATATTACAAAGTAATGTTTGTTCAAGGTATTTTAATATTTATATATTCGTTATGAAATCGTTTACGGCAATACGCTATCATAAAAGTTGATTGTAATTCAGACATAATCGATTTCGCCATGAAAACATAGAATATTTTCTTTGACTAGGAACAGAAAGAAAGGTAATTTTGCGTTTGAAATAGTCTAATTTAATTAATCTTTGATCCTTTTTTAATGTATTTTAATACTTTTTTTACAGGGTTTCAAACGATATTTATCAATTAAAGCAAAAATAAAACATAAGAAAGAAATGATATATGCATTTTAATTCAACTCGCGTATCAATTTGAAAAAATCTGTCAAAATTTCAGTATTCAATTATATTTTTCACATTTTTATGGGCAAGAACAAATATCTTTTTTCTTTCTATCTGAATGACTTGGAAGAATTTTTCATAGAAATAATGTATTAGGTTTAAGCTCAATGACAAATAAAATAGAAGAACAAATTAACATTTACTTGAAACTTTATGTACTACTTTATGCAGATGATACTGTTTTATTTTCTGAAACTGGACAAGATCTTCAACATCAGCTAAATACATTTTATAAATACTGTGAAATATGGAAACTGAAGGTTAATCCAACTAAAACAAAAATTGTTATTTTTGGAAATGGTAGATTGTCAAACAATCTAAATTTTACACTTGGTGGTAATGATTTAGAAATTGTCAAGGATATATCATATTTAGGCATTATTTTTTCCAAAACGGGTAGTTTCACTAGTGCTAAAAATCAACTCATTAGTAAAGCCATCAAAGCTATGTATGAAGTCCTGAAAAAGGGCCGTTTACATAACCTTTAACTTTTGTTAAATTTGAAAAAAATCAACCCCAAACTTTATGGTTTATGGAGAGCTAGGCGCTTATCCTATGTCAGTATATGTGGAACACCGTATGGCAACCTTTTGGTCTAACATTGCAAATGGTTCTGATCAGAAATTGACAAATTTTCTGTATAGATATATTTATAAACTCAACAATATACTTTTGAATGGTTGATTTGTATAAAAAATATCTTGAATAAACATGGATTTTCAAATATTTGGATAAATCAGAGTTATTACAGTTTTAATCCAAAATGGTTAAAGTTGAGCATTAAACAGAGAATATTTGATCAATTTCAGCAGACTTGGAAATCAGAACTGGAAAACTCTCCAAAAGCATTATGTTATATACAATTTAAAGAGAATTTGGAATTTGAAGAATATTTAGACTTATTACCTTATAAAGATAGAATAACTTTATGTAGGTTTAGAACTAGAAATCACCGGTTACCTATAGAAACCGGTAGATGGCTTGGAATTGTTTGACAGGAAAGGTACTGTGTACTTTGTAATTCTCGAGAGATAGGTGATGAATTTCACTATATTCTAACCTGTACAGCTCTAACAGAAAGTAGAAGAGCTTTTCTTAAACCTTACTGTGTAAGCCGAGTAAATGTTTTAAAATTCGGCAGTTTATTTGTTTCAAAAAATATTCGGGTATTGAAAAATTTGTGTAAACTAATCAGAATTATCAATACAGAAGTATGTTCTCCAGGTTGATCATCGATCTCTCATCTTTTTATGCTCGTTTTG